GAATACGTCCAGCCCCTCCAGAAGCTCCCTTACTAAGTCCTCGCTAACCCTTGGCCCAGGTGTGCCTCCCCCGGGGCCCGAAGGGGGCCCGGCTGGGAGGTTGCTGTCCTGGTCCCTACTTAGGAAGATACCAGTATCTGGTATCATGGGGGCTTCTCCCATTCATTCCCCACCCCCTTACCTGAGTACTCAGAGATGTTCCTCCATCTCACAACTGAGGGCTGGGGGTGCTCACAGTGCCACAGTGGTTTTTTTTCTTCAGAAACCCACCGTGAAGCTGCTGGCCCAACGTCTCCTGGGTCCGTGCTACACACACGCAAGCCAAGGCATGCACACGGCGTGCAACGTGTTCTCCGACTGCTGAGCAAACACATCTTTGTTTCTTCTGGTCGTGCAAGCTGCAGAGTTTTCCCCTCTTGAAACCTTTTCTCAGCTTGAAGGAAGCATTCGTAGGTGTTTGGAGGCTTCCTACACATCCACTCAAGAAGCTGGACATGGAAACGGTGGTGTCCCTGCCCCACACAGCAGCATCCCAGACCTGCACACATACACACACGCTTCTCCTAATGTGATCCCATCCTTCCCCATGGAAACTCAAAGCCTGGCACTGCCGGGAGCGTGCATCTCCATGCCCACCCACCCTAGCCCAGCCCCGGGGACGTGGCAGGACTCGTCCGCAGCAAGGCGCGGGGTCAGCTCAGCCCCCTTCCGCAGCTCAGTGGGTTTCTCCCATCGTCTTTGGATCGGGACCTTCCCTGCGAGGGAGCACACTTCCCTTGGATCAGAGGCTTTTGCAATACTCACAGAATCACAGGGCAGCGGGGCCGGAAGGGACCTGCAGACACCACATCCAGTCCAACCCGTTTGAGGCAGGATCAGCCCTGTGCAAACCAGCAAACTGGCAAAACGACACAGTACATCCTGACACACCACAGGCCTCACCCCTGACCCTGCCGCAGGGGAAGTAGGGGGACCATGGGGGCCAACGTCCTGCTTCTGTAACAGGTGGTTGATATATGCCCAAGAGATATATCTGCTACACACCGAGAAGCTATCCCCAGTCCCCTGCAGGTGCGACTGCCAGGCAGCGAGCCCACGGGTGGGCACTGTCCCTCTTTGGGGGTGCGGATCACTTAGGGATGTCCCCTTCTTCTAGCCTCTTCCACCCCAGGGCTCTCCAGCCCTGCAGGGGATGGACATTTTCCTGAGGCTACAGCTGGGGAAACTGAGGCACGCACAAGCGATGCCAGCTCTTCCAGGCCACTCCATGAGCTGGCAGCAGGATCTGGGAATAAGAGCCAGGCAACAGGTCACCTGCTGGGAGGGAGCAGAGAGACGCAGCCCCCAAAAACACCATGGACCCCCCCCAAACCAACATGGGCACAAGCTCCAGCTCAGTCCAGGCCCCGCGGCCTGCTGGGCAGTTTGGTTTGACAAGCAGCGCTGGGTTCACGCTCATCTCCCAACTACTGTGACGTGGACCAGCTGATCCCCAAAAAACTCCAGGCATTTTGCTGGCTGCAGATAGAGCCGGCGCAGAGCCAGGGGACACGGCCACTGGGATGCCTACTCCGAGGGAGGGCCCCCAGCCCTCTCCCAGGGCAGGGCGTGCACTGGGCTGGAGCAGGGCACTTTTCCTCTGCCCCGGGATTACCTGGGAAGCTGGAGTCCCAAAGCAAGTAGCAGTCCAGGGCTTTGCAGCTGCCAGCCCAGCCTGGGGCAGGATCATCTGGCGCCATCTCTCCAGGCTTGCATGCTGCGTCCGTGACTGGGGGATGCAAGCACCTTGCAAGTTAATTAACTGGGAAGGGAATAATGAGTTCCTCCACCTGCTAGAAGAGAAAGAGGGGAGGGACGGGGGTGCCAGGTGCGCGCGTGCTTGCCTAGCAGCTCCCTGGCTTCTCCACACCATGTCACATCCATCATGTCTTGGAGTCCGTCATGCTCCAAACACAAGCTTCCCCTCCTTGTGATGAGGCTGGCCCAACTCCCCCATGTCTCTCCTCACCGCGAGGCAGCTTGTCTTTGCTGCTTCAGACCCGCAAACACCACTGTGCACCTCCCTGTACCCGCAAACATCCTCCTCACCTCCTTGAAACAGCTGGGACAGCCACAGCCACTCCCAGCCCTGCCCTGCCGGCTCGTAGCCCTCATGAGGAGACAGGGGTCTCGTCTCTCCCTATCCATAAAAAAATAAAACCACTGAAGCTTCGCAGCCCCTTGCTCAGCTGAACCTGCTTTAGTGCAGCAAGGAAGGAGCTGGGGGCACTCCCAGAGGCTGCGTTATAGGAACGCGGGACAGTGTCTAGTCCCCTGCATTTGCAGCCAGGCATCATGCAAGCATTGCCAGGTCAGCTCTAGGGGGTCACGGCCATCTGGTGTGGCCTCATCTGTGCACGCCTGCTCGTGCCACTCCTCGTCCATCATCAGCCATTCAACCTGCATCAACGGGGCCAGGAGGTCGCAGCCAGGAGTGGCAATTCCTCGATTCGAGGGTGACCTCTGCCACAGCTCAGGGATGGGTCTTGAGGTGACTGTAGAGTCCAACCCTCGCACCACAGCTGCATTTGCAGAAGTTGCAGGTCTTTCTGCAGGGCAGAGCAGGCTGAGATTGCTCTCCTTCTCCACCCTCTGCTTCGAGGGCAAGACGCTTTACCTTGAAATGGGCTGCCGCTTGGTTGAGGTTGAAGCGCTATTGGAGCCCATTGGCAGTCAGCTCCTCTTAGCTTTGATGGCAGCCTCTGTCTTCTTGAGGTCTGCCCACACTGCGTCCCTCTGGCCACTGTGAGATCAAGCCGGGAGCAAAGCAATTGTTCGGGGGGTTGAGAGCGAGGCCTCCACACACCATGACCAGCCCAGCAAAGTTGGTGCTTGAGGGTCACCGACTTACTGCTACTAACATTAGCTTCAGCAAGGTTTTATGCAGCGATTGTCCCATTTGATGTAGAGGGTTTTCCGGAGGCATCGTTGGCAATATCACTGCAGGCTCGAGATGAGCAGAGGAGACGGGGCCTGGAGCACGTAGAGCCAGGAGCAGGTGGGACCTGACGTGGCAGGGACTGCAGTGGGCAGATGGATACAGGGGTCTCCCTCCTGGACCTTTCTCCCAGGATGTGCATGGACTAGAGGCAGCAGTGATGCCATAAGGGGCGTCTTTCCTGCTCCACCGAGCTGGGGACCCCATGGGAAGGAGTGACTTGGCACTGAGCAAGGAGGAGCTTTCAGCAGGTGTCCCACAGGGGTCCTGGCTACCGGTCATCATTAACACCCTTGTTAACATCCTCATTAACACCACCACACCCTGCCTAACTTCTCACTGGGCCCTTGACTGTTTACCTATGTCGCCTTCCCCGCTGCCCGAGCCAGCTTCAAGCGCAGACCTTCTGCTCCCTGTGATGCTCAGCACAGGGGAGACTCAGGAGGTCACGTCTAGTCCAACCCCTGCTCCAAGCAGGACCAGCCCCAACTACAGCATCCCATCTCACCTAAAGCTGACTGCATTGCAGCCTCAAGCTCTCCAGAGAGCTTCCTGCCACTCCCTTGCTGCGGTTCAGCTCCTGCCAGCTGCTCTTCATCCAGGAGTTGGTCTCATCCCCGGTCTGGGTCGTCTTGGGGGTAGAGGTGCGGTCGCCTGGGACAAGAGATGGATAGAGCCATATTTCATGCACATCTTGCCAGCTCCCGGGTCCACACCATGCGACCAATTCAGCTAGCAGATGCATGCGGCAGAGCAGGATCAGAGGGAGGGTTGATCAGTGCAGGATGCTAAGAGAAGGGTGCAGGGGTGGAGGCGGTGTCTTCCCATCGCTGATCCAGGAAGACTCAACCTGCCTTACTGCACGGCCGCCTTTGCCACCTCTCTCTATCAGGATCAGCCGTGTTAGCTGCTGTAGACGGGCCTGGGAGGATGAGGATGGACATCTGCCCTCCACTGACAGCAGATCATTCACCAGCGCCAATAAATCTCATGTTACCCTTGCCAAATACACCTCCAAGGGGCAGGTACCCACAAGAGCAGGGACCTGCACCCCTTCCTCCTCATCACAGCAGAGAGCTCTTTCCTCCTGCAAGGACGTGCCAGCCGTACTGGCCCTTGGTGAAAGTCTATGCACGTGCTGTTTGGACGCAGCATCCACCTTGGTTCTTACAGCCCAGGGCTGGGGCTGGGATCTGCACCAGCTTCTGCCACAAAATAGAGGAGTTGCTTGCTCGCTAATTTAATCCATTTGTGGCTCAGTACTGGGAAGCCGTGGCAATCAGCAGTGTAGAGATACCTTGAAGGAAGAGCTGGCTGCACAGAGACAAAAGCCTTGAATTCCCATGTGGCCCCTGCCCTCTTTGTACACCCTGTCCTCCTGTGGTCGCCAGCACAACGATGAGCAATTTGGAAGATAGAGTGGCACATTTGTACAGCACCTGACACACAGAGGCCTCTAAAACACACACCTGGCTCACGAGAGGTCTGTGAATGACCCCAAACCTCCCTTTCCTCGTCCACACAGTGACGGCAGGCTCACAAGGCCCATGGGAGGCTTCAGTCATTACCATCCATGAAGTGCTTTGGGATCTGTGGAGGCTGAGATTTATGGAAAAATGACGGCTACAACCTCCATCCGTACCGCAAAATCTGGATCTCCCTAGGCCTCACGAGCGGGGCAGCGTCCACTCAGAGCAAGACCCGGATCTGGAAATGCGAGAAGAAACATCCATTGCCAGGCACTGGGACACCCAGGAGAAGGACAGTCTTGTTCTCTTAGTCTTGTTCAGAAATTAATCACCTCCAAGCACTTATTTAATGACAGCCAGCAATAAATTACACTATTCCCTGGGAAAGCAGCGGAGGTGCCGGTGGGTGGGAGAACCGCAGCACTAAATGAGTGAGTAATTTCCTAGCTTAATTATTTCAGCATGGTTCTTAATCCCCATTACTCTGCTCCTTCAGGAGCCCGCGCTGCCTGTGAAAGCTGCCTGGATGAGCCCAGCACAGGTATCTCAGCTCACAGCGCTCCACGGCACACGGCTACGGATGTTACGGGGGGAACAGACTTGCACGCTCCAAAACAAAGAAGCTTTCAAACTTCTTTGGAAGTTGAGGGATCTTAGGACTAGGCAAGATCCCGCCCAAAAAGATAAATACAGGATCATTTTACCCTCCAAGGTGAAAAAGGACCATTAGAAAGATTGGAAACCAGGCTGGCAGAGACCATAGGAGGCTGCATGTATCCAGCCCCTGCTCAAGGCAGGATCAGCTCAGATTAAACCATGTCAGCCAAGAATTTGCTGACCTGCTTTTCAATGCTTCCAGCAACAGAGATCCCACCAACTCTCCGGTGCTTAACCAATATCCAGTGAAATCTCCCTTGTTGCAATCTGAAACCACCTTCTCTTTGGACAAAGCCTCGTGTTTAAAGCCCTGCTAACTCATGGGGGTCAAATGCATTTGCCGCTCACTGGTTAACCCTTGGTTGGATGCTGATACTTACTGCCTCCGGGTTTGTCCCCAGCCAGCGCATAGGTTTCTGCAAACTGCATCCATAAAATGGGCAGAGGGCGAGCCGCCGAACATCTCTGACACGTCGCAAAGCAGAACAAAACCCCGAGTTGGAAGCTGAAGGTGGATAAATTCAGGCTAGAATTAAAGGGCTATTCTGCAGTTGCTCAGGGATGTAGGGGGGTAGTTAGGAAGGCCAAGGCAGAGATGGGACTGGGACTAGCTTCCCAGATTAAGGACAATAAGAAGTCTTTTTTTAAATACATAGGGGGTAAAAAGAAGGTCCCAGGTAATGTGGGGCCCTTGCAGGATGTGTTGGGAAACTTGGTTGTCACACCAGATGACAAAGCTAACATGTTTAACAATTTCTTTGCCTCTGTCTTC